TTCTTTCATGCTGCAACATTTTTGGTTTAAAAAAACAACAAAGCAAAACAAAAATATATTTCAGTTTCTTCTTTTTAAAAATTATTCACCTTAATTTCTTGGTTTGGCTACTGATACTGTAAATGTCTTTGGTCAAAAGATGGGTGTATGAGCATGCATGCACCTGTGCATCCAGGCATCTGTGTGTATATAGGCAGATGATGTTCCACAAATGTGATGCATGATAAATCTGAGCAGATGTAGCTCTGATGGACAGAAGCTCTCAAGGTCCCTTCCAACCCAAAGCATTCTATGATTCTATGATAAGATCAAAACCTTTAATATTAGGGCAAAGAAGGGATTTAGTAAGATGAGCTGTGTGCTATTCCCTTCCTTTTGGGAGGTCAAGGGTGGCAGCAGGGTTCTGAAAAGGATGGTACCAAAGGGTGTCCTAAGAACCCAAGCCCTATTGATTTATAATAAATCTGGAAGATAGCTGAATGAAATGCTGTACTGCACAGCAAGAAAAAATGCTTGCTTCACATTTCTATGCCCATCAGCACGCTACTTATGTTTGCTGCACTTCCACTGAAGTGATATCCACGCAGATAAACATGCTCCCTGCCATCTAGAAGGACACGTATTCCACCCATGTTTTCTTCCCAGTTACAGAAGGAAAATGCATTCAAGGGGTACAGGGTGTGCCATTTCAGCCAAAAATGCAGCTTTCGGTTCTTAATTAAATATGTTGCCACAATGGGAGACCAAAGACCCCAGGGCAGATTTTGTACTTTGCTTTCTAACAGTGCAGTGTGATGCCCCCTCTACCAACCATAAGTTCTCCTCTCCTATGCTCCAAAAGCAACATAGTTAGGGTGGAGGGACAGGCAAGCAAACGTTACTCATTGAGCAATTGATATCATGTCTATCAATGTCCATTTCCTTCTTAGTTGATTAAGCAAACTTGTATCTTCCAACCTCTTCTTACAAGTCATGTTTTCTAAGCTTTTCTGATGTTTGGGTGTCTCCTCTGGGCTCTGTCATGGTGGTTAGCATACTTGTCCCCATGCTGCTGCCCTACACTGGGTGCAAACCTCCAGGCAGATGTCTCCTCCTCCACGGAATGAGTTTTAATGGCTTTCCACATGATGTCCCAGGGTCAGATGCAATCTAACAATTATACTGCTGACTTCAATTAGTTTGTGGTTCACTGCAACTGTTAGGTCCTCTGTTAAAATATTTCTGTCCATCCAGTTATGCTCCATCTTCTATTTGATTATTTGCTTCCTTGCTACAGCACTTTTAACTTATAATTACTGAGTTTCCTCTAACTGATTTCAGATCATTTGGACATCAATTACTACCATTGCAACTGAGCTCATTTTTTAATTTAGAAACTGCTCTCCAAGCACTGCTTCCCGTAACTATTTCAACCTTTGTACCATCTACAAATTGCATACACTCACTCTATTGCTCCCACTAGGTCATTACAAGAAATAGTGCATGGTGTCTGATTTAGGATAGCCTTCAAGAATCCCAGCTGATACGTCCTCCTCCTAGAAAGACAGTAAACTTCTGAAAATGTAATTACTGATTTTCAGTGTTGCTCTTATACTAATTTCCCCTAGTCCATATTTCCTTTGGGCACTTCTGTGTCATCTGGGACTATATCAAAAGTCTTTTTAAGGTCAACCTGTATCATATCTGCTGCTGGACCAGTTAACCTGTCAATGAAATAAATTAGTTTGGTTTGACATAATTTATTCTTGACAAATCCATGCTGGTTATTTCTCATTGTTTTATTATCCTCCAGGTGCTTACTAATTCTTTCATAATTTCAGTATCTTTGGATACCAAGGTTAGGCTGTCTTTTGTATAATCCCTTTGATCTTTGTCCCTGTTTCTGCCTTCAACCTTCCTTCATTTGGAAGAGTTGTCATTTGTCCTTCTTGTTCTTCCACATCTTCCTACATCCTCCACATATTCCCCAAAATACAGCTAATACTTCAGAGATTGTTTTGGCCATGGTGAGTTTCTCTGGGTCCTACCAACTGGAACATATATTTTAAAGATATATTCCTGTTAAAACTGAACATTTTGTAAGATGCCAAAGAATGCTCCCCCATCCAAATTAAGAGACAAAACCTCCAACTCTGAGCAGATGTTTGCAAAATGTAGACCTAACAATATTGGTGTAAATGTTATATCCTCTTTAGTGTCTACCTGGCTACTAAACAATCAGACATACAAACCTTTCCTTTAGCAGGTAGAATATTGCTGACGAAATAAGGAGAATTCTCATCTTGTTCTGAAAACAACATGCAGCAGCAACATGCAGTTCAAGTCTACCACACTCCTTAGAAAGAGAAACATGGACAACAGCAGCAACCAGTATGTTTTGCTTCAAAGTTAGCTGTTGCCTAGAAATTTGGCCTACTCTCTTGTTATGCCCAGGTAGAATATCCAATTCTTTTTAGCTTTTATGTGGAGTTCAAAAAAGACACCAGCTACTCTGACTCAGCATTAAATAAGACTCAATTTCTCCTTGGCTATGGGCATTTGATAGTGTAGTGCAATCTTTCTATCTACCACAGAATTGCCAAGTAATTTCAAGTTCAGCAGAATCTGCTGCATCACTCCATTTATTCCAGTTTATTACTCCTTTAGAAGAACTAAACGTGAGGCGGGGGCTGAGAAATATGCAAGAAAAAACATTCTGTTTCATCTTATCGCACCTTAGCCTTATAATTCGCTAGCTTAAAGATGACATTTATTAAGAAAGAGAAAGAGATTGCATCCATTACTATGGTAGCTATGTACTTTAAGGCAGCACTGATAGACTGCAGCTGGGAAACAAAAGAATCCAAATAAGGAAGAAAATATTAATTCAGGGTATAGAGGTATTCTTCTTGACTGGACAGAAATTTCTATAATGCTCAATTTACCTGTTTTGACATAACATACCCAATTCATTGGGTTTGCAAGGGCATTACCTACTCTGCAGCAATATTCCCTTGTTCTGCTGCCCTTAGGTAATCAGAGATCACAAAACCAAATGTGAGATTAAAAGCTACAGTAAAAAAATTACAGGACCTGTGGTTTTAATCACATATTAGTTGTCATCGCAGCAAATGACTGTGATTCGGTATTTGGGAGAAGGACACAGATTTTTTGTTTCTTCTTTTTTAATGCAAGTGCTTTAAAGTTGTTCTTGACCTGCACAGAGCATATTGTTGATATCAATTTCTGTGCTGTATATATTTAGAAGAAAGGTGCTTGTTACTGTTATGCCAACCTCCTCATTAAAGCTCTCTTATGGACTTGGTGGCTCAAACTAAGCAAAGCAAACAGAGAAATTTTAAGCAGACTTTGATTCTGAAGTGGCTTGAAGAAACTAAGAAGAATCTCATGGAAAGCCTGAATCCGACCTCTTTTGAGCTTTGGAATAATTGCATACCCACCCCAAATCAGTGCTTCAGATGCAATTAAACTGCCAATAACATATAATGTTCAATCTCCTTTCAGCTGTTCCCCACAATTTGTCATTGTATTTACTAGTTGTGAAAGATCTTTCCTCTAATAAGATTCTTTTTCTTCCCAGTTCATTTCCCTTTTTCACCCACAAACCCAGAAATGAAGATGATATTGTGCTGAACTTATGAGACCATATCCATTTCCAGCAGCAGAATGAGTTGGTGTGCTGAATTCAGCATTTGCTGCTACAGAGAGAAACTGGTTGCAAATGGTTATGTTCTTATGTGAACACAACTAGCTGAAATAAATACCATGGGAACGCTACAAATGGTAGTCTGTGCCAATTCTTCTTTGAATAAACATTCTAATTACGTAAAACTTTCTTTAAAGCTATCTGAAACCTCTGGACTAGATTGCAACACAAATTAAAGTAACCATAAGTTATCTGCAGTGCAAACACAGCCAGCAGAGCTTTTAGCGTTGATTATGTTCAGCTAGAAGTTTTACCCTGAGTTTGTACAATTTTTATTATAATATGAATCACGGAGCATTTAATATAAAATCAGCACAACTGCAAACAGAGCTGTCAAAGTTTGTTTCTCTGATGTATGAGAGGATGAGCTTCCACTAATGAGGCCTGATTTTCCCAGGGCAATAATAATAGTAAAACTTAAAAGAATGAATTAAGATACTGTTATTAGTCTAATACAGATTGAAGAACTTGGCATTTAGCAGAAAAGTACCTTGGTCTCAGTACTTTCTTACTGAAATATAGCTAATGCTCATGGATTAATCAAAAAAGAAAAAAAGAAAGGTCATTACACCGCACAGTAAAAAAACAATGGGGAAACTGTTCTTATCCAACTGCGTATTTCTTTTATGCAGAATGAAATAGGCTCTTCCTTTAGGTCACTAAGATGAGAGGGAATACTGAAAAAAGGGTGCAGCAACCAGAGGCATTGGTCCAAATCCAACACTCACTACGTAAATGGAAGTCTTCATTAGCTTCAGTAGGATTTAGATCTGCCTTTTCTGTGGCCATTTTGAAAAGCAAAGCAAAAGGGTCTGGGGAAGGTTGTTGGCAAGTGGCACTAACTGCAGAACAGTAACCACCAGCAGCGAGAACTGTGGAAGAGGAAGAGGAGGCTGGCTGTGAGACCTGGAGTCGTTTCCAGGCTCTTGTGCAAGCCTCCCTCGTTCCTCGGTCAAGAACGCAGCAGCAAAGTCATACACTAACAATGAAACCATAAAGGTGTAATTTTTTCGGTTTTCAAAAACAACGTTTCCAACTTCTACTAGACACATTAATATTAATCCTACATGAAAGGGTAAAATGCAAGATTTGTGCTGTGCAGAAGCAAGAGAAGTTGGCAAAGCCCACAGCCAGCAGGAAGTCTATTCAAAAGACTAATTAGAGCCAGAGAAACCCTCTAGCCCACCAGAGTCTTCCTTAAAGAGTATCTTTAGTAGTTTAGCAGAATAGCTAATGATTTAGTGCATGAGCTACAGAACTACGGCGATTAGTGGGTTAGTGCTCTCATACTGACCGTGAGTTGTTGTGAAGCTGATTTACATACAGCTTTATAAGAGAATGCTCATCAGCCACAGGACTGGCTGCATTTATACCCCCAAGTAACCTGAATGATTCAAACAACGAAACTTTGTTAATACCCCAAAAAGTATACACAGAGAGCAGTGTGTTCAGAGTGGGCTCATTACCATAAATGCAATTTGCAACCATTTAGAAAGGATACTGACTTGACAGTTTGTAGGGTGCTTTTTCTTTCGAATAAAAAGAAGCAAATTAAATTTATAAGAGATGAAAATAAAAATAACGAGAATAAGCTGTCAAACACTTAAAATCCTGCTAGGTCAATGAAACAGAAGTTGTAAAACTTTTAATACACAAGCAATGTAATTGCTTTACATATCAGGGTACTGTTAACTCTAAAAAAGCCAGAACTGACTGCTGCATCATGGAAACTTTTTGCTGTATAAGGATGTCATATTATCCACTTATAAGGAACTCTGGGTACCTATGGTTGGAGGCGGTTTATTGTCTCCTGCCTTCAGAATATGTGCTGTGATTATTACTGCAGGTCCCTGGCCTAAATGGCAAAGCATACTTTTGTTGAATGAGCACAGGGACTTCTTGGGGATAAATAGAAGCGACAGCTACACTCTTAAAGAGCACTGCTCTTAATGACCTGTCCTGGAGAGACCATAAATAGATTATTCTGCCTTGCAGAAATGAATTTGCATTTGAAGTCTCATTGTCTGTACAGGCAGCAGATCTGGTCTTGGGGGCTGCTTTGGGACTGGCTTTCAAAAAGCATCTCAGTCACACCCAGCAGCTACTTGCACTAAGATAACATTGGGAGTTTACAGTTTATAGCTCCTGGTAACAAAGTTCATAAATCAAAATAGTAGCAAACCATCTTTACTCTGACATTGCAGTGTGGTACACTGTGGGTTTGGTTTTGGTGTTAAAAGATGTAGCCATGCATACCCAGAGATTGTGTTTGGTTATTTGGGAACGCTGAAGCACTGACACGTACAGCAGGAGCCAAGCAATAAAATGCACCCAAGGAAGACATATCGCTCATCTTCCCCAATACAGCAGGAAGTTTTTTTTCTGCCACCTTCTCATCTATATGCATTGGTAGGCTTACATAGATTGGGTGAGACAGCTAACAAATGCTACACACATATTTTGACTGTACGAGCCAAAATACTGAGCCAAAGTGTACATAGCCAGCTGCAAGCACCTTCTCTTTGGGATTAACGTTTCTGACGACTCTCCTCTGGTTTGTTTGCTGAAAGGTCATCATATTCCAAGACTACTCCTTCCCTCTTGTAGCCTTTAATGAAAAGCTGAATGGCTTAACAGGAGTAAGGATGTCTTGCTATATCTTGCAAGTATGAACACATTTTCTCTTTGTTCATATCATAACTTGCAGTACGATGCAGGCATTCCCAGTAGGCAACGGCATGTCCCAGTTCCTATTCTCAGTGCTGCTACAAAATGGCTTCTCACCAACAGCCCATTTTCAGCCCCTGGGGGAAGGTGCCTAAGTTGCATGTGATCACATTTTAGCAGGATGTAATGGTTCAAATGAGAACTGAAGTTCTGCGCTCTGCTGTGAGGAGCTTGGGGTGCCCTAACTCCAGCTCTCCATCCAGATATCTGGGTATCAGTCCAAACTAACCGAGGCATTTCTCTGCTCATGTCTGTTAATTTTATTTTGTGGGTGGTTTTTTGGTTTTGGGGTTTTTTTGGGGGGTTTTTTTTTGGTTTTTTTTTTTATGGAAGGGAATTGGAAATTGAAACCTCCACCACTATCATGTAACGGTTTAACATAAATAAGGATACGAACTCACCTTCTGTTTGCAAAAGGACTTCCTGAGGGAACAGAGTGGGAGAAGAGTGTGTCATTCATGCTGGTTACAGGTCGGGGGGGCCTAGAAGAAGGCAAAACTTGCATTAATTTTGCACCAAAAACCCCTCCATCAGCAACAGTATTTACAGAGAAATGAATGAGCTTCTTGTTTAAGGTAACTTTACTACTGGCATCTTCTGCTTTAAGTAGCAATAGTTCCAAATTAAAATGCTGTGGTTTTAAGCAGAAGTTGATAAAACATGCTGTTACTTAGGCCTGGAAGGAAATAACGCTTTTGTGTGTTCTGAGGTGAGTTTTAGGCAACTTGCTTCATTTTTTTCCCTGCTTTGGCAAAATAACCACTATGCCATTTTTCCTTGCCAGAGCCTGTAGTCCAGGGTGCAGTCACTGCCTTCAACCAGCTAGGCTGAGCACTGGTAGCAGGTTCGCTGTGGCAGCATGGAGGTCTGCAGGGGGTAACTGCCAATAAATTACACATCTTTTCATGAGGTTATCCGTGGCGCGAAGCTCCATGCTACCATATCCACATAGTGACCACAGCGTACCCATAGCCCTCAGTATCCCATAAAATACATGTAGAAATAAACTGGTTTAACTGCAAAGCTTTTCAACTGGTACATCAAAACCCCAAATCAAAATTTAAAATAAGTACCTAGTTTAAGAGGACCCATTAATAATGATGGTTTTATTATTATATTCTTTATTTCCTGCTCTTACTAAAAATGAAATGAGAAGGAATATTTCCTCTGCTTTCTTTTATTGTCTACTCTTAAGAAGTATTTTGTGCATAATTTTTCCTTCTGTATGCATTAAGGACAAATTTCCCCTTCTTAATGGACTTCTTATGCAACATTGGGCAAAAGATATAGACACTCTGGAAAAACTAAAAAATATGTTATTAAAATCACAGGGGTTTCAATCAGATATGAGCAGAACCTGAAGGCATATATAATTCAGGCTTCAAATGGCCTAAATTTCAAGTTGGTCAATATCCCCTTTAAGCTCTGTGAAAGATCTGTCTTGCTTTCTGAATTCTGCAGATGTGCAAATCAAAATATAGTAGCCATCTGCAAAATATTCACTGGGCTCCAATTGTGCAAGACAACCAGTCATCCAAACCATCTGGATGACCATAAGAAATGAAGAAAGCCAGTTCTGCACAGAGTGAACTATTAGCATATGTTTTCTTTCTTATTTTTTAACTGTTAGAAAACAAGCATAAATGTGGTCTTTGACAAGTCCAAACAGATTTCTCAGCATGACAATACCACACCGATTTTAAGTTTAAAACTGGGAATAGAAAGATGTAGGATTTGGCATGTTATTTATTTATATGAAAATACAGTTTTAGCCTAACCCTGCATCTGGAGACCCACATGAAAAGCTCCAGTTCTGGTCAGTCACAAATTTGAGAAGCAGCACTTTGTGCTCTATGTACTTATGGAGAAGAGTTTAATACTATTTTTCATGGACTCCTTCATCAGAGCTAGGAAGAGCTTGGGTGAGGCCATGATCAGAGCCAATCCACTGGAAAGGTCATTGTGGTATGAGTCTTGAAATACAGAGATTTGGAAATAAACTTCGAGAGAATACTTAGAAACTAATTTTATTTAATGGGTAAGCAACCAGTATTTTGTTGCCTGGGAACTGTAAACTGGGAATTGATGTAGGAGAAGTAGTTCACATCAACTACATGGGACTACTGCATTTTTCCTTTTCTCAATGCAGTCATTGGCCAGCGAACACATTAAAAAACTAATTGCGCATAGGCAGGGGTTTCCGAAAGATGGGTCCAACCCTGGGCTGTGGAGTGCTAAACAGCAGAGGAGAAAGGAGGAGTGGCTGGTTCTCAACACTGTCCCAGAGAAGGAGGCAGGAGGAGTGCTCCCGTGGCAGAGCTTGGGCTCTGCTTTGCCTTGCACCCAGTCCATCTCTGCTGACTTCAGCAGATCACCACACACACGCTTCAGGTTAATGTCTTCTCTAAGCTTTATCTCAAAATAGGGGTGGAAGAAAAAGTTTCTAATGCCCCAAACAGCTCTTCCCTTTCACTGTCTCTGTGACAATTATTTATTTGGCTCTAGACTCTGATAAAAAGTTAAGGATTGGTAATAATGAGATTATCGTATTTTTTCCGAGCTTCTTTCTCTAATAAGTGTACTAAAGAAGAAAAATACTCACCAAGTATCTCTTTTGCAGCCAAAATGAAATGGAAAAGAGATCATTAATTAAATTGTCAGTTTAATATGTATGTGGTCTAAGTAGTGCATTGGACAAACGCCATTCTTACGACCCTGATTCTGCAAAAAGCAGGAGAGCCTCTACGCGTAAAATGTCATTGATCTGTTTACATATGCAGAGCTACTCTTGTGTACAAACGTCTATAAACTCCAAGGCTTTGCTAAGGTTTTGTGATTAGCATTGTTAGTCAATTCTTACACGAAGAAAACTATATTAAACTAATCTGAGCTTTCCAAGGCAAGTCTCTTGAAGGCTGATGCCCACTGTCACATTCCTCAGGTTCAGCTTGAATATCAAATGGATGTTCAAACATACATATACAGTTGTGTGACGTGATTAGACAAGAACAGCAGACTTTATGGTAAAGCAAAGGGAAACTCAGTTATTGACTATAAATGTATATCTTTCTGAGGTTATTTCTAAACTTCTGCAAGTGAGTGATTAAGCTTTCTGATAAAAGTGAGCTGATGATACTCAAACAGCTTTCCTCAAGGAAGCAGAAAACACTTCATGCTATTGAAATATGCTATGTAATAAATGTATGTTATGTCATAACACATACCCACGGTAATAAACCAAATTAAGTAAGAGGAATTTTCCAAAGTGCTCCATGCTGGTCTAACCTCTTTCACACTGATGTCAAAAATAATGGTCCCACAGGCTTAGATGGAAACAAAGTCAGGCCAGTGCAGAACACGTTTGAAAAATACCTCCATCATGCACTGGCCACGCCGTTTGCCACCTCTGCAGTCTGGTGGTTTTTTGTTGCCAATCTTACGTATAGAAAGGAAAAATGACCCCTCCATCGGTGGGGGGGAGTTCAACCACCAGGTTAATGATACCTTGATAATTACTTCTCTAGATGAGCCTTAGATGTGTTCCTTGCTTAACTGAAAATCTTGTGTGGCACCAGTAAAACAAAAACCCCATGCAGTCTTTCTGTCTGGTACCACTCAAAGGTGGAATAATGATGAAAAGGAAAGGCTGTATAGCAATGCAGAGAGTACTTGTCCCCATTTAAGCTAGCAGCTAAGAAAAGGATACTGTTTTGTTGCCAAAATTCTTCCATTTAATGCACATATAAAACCCGTTTTGGCTGGATTCCTGCCCAGAGCTGTTTCTCTCAACTTCCATTATGTTTAAAAATAAAAATCACATCAGCGAGAAGATATTCTCAATGAGGTACTGTAGCATATCTGTCCCTTCAGTTAATTTATGTGAATTATGCTGTAGATCACGCTACCTCCACAACTTACAGGTTTTGCACTCATGTATCATTATAGCCAATATATATTGCCAAGTTATATTGCCTTCAATCTATGAATAAAGAGAAACTCTATCATAAAACAAAATAGATGGTGGTTTGTTCTCACATCCAATCACTCTAAATTATGTCTGTATAGTTAGGAAGAAGGCAAGGTGTTAATTTCACAGCGAAGATTTGGAACCGATCCTACTCAATTATGGTACCTTCCCCTTGCCTTGCCTAAATGCACAGTAGCCCAGTTTTCACTACCTGTTATCTTCTGACATACCCCCAGGCCTTTGAGGGCCTCCAGCCAAGAGGGAACAGAGGCTTCTTTTTCAGTTTCACCCTCCCTGTCTCTTTCCATTTCGCTAAAGGATGGCCAAAATCTGCCCTGTGAAATTATCACTGACTTGCCAGCAGAGCCAGGCTTTTATACCATGCACAGCAGTGGGGTAGCTCAGTAGATCCAACTCCGGATGATTTCTTCCAAAAAACAACATCCTCCCATTACACCTCCATAAAGAGGTGCGGGGGCTTTAATTGACAGTTGAGCGTAACAGGGACTTGGCACTATGTATCTGTCAAAGGCACCTTGCATCTGAAGAGCAGAGCACTCTTTTATGCCTTGAAAGTTCTGCTATAACCACACGAGGAGGACCACCAGCATGCTTTATCCTTAAAATGTCAGGTAGGTTAGGTGAACTTTCCAGGTGTCACACACCCCACAACACCCGGTCTGCACTTGCCCTTAAAGATGCTACATACAAACATTCAGTACTGACAAAAGTAAATGCATACGATAACTACAGACCGGAATAGTTCCAGCAGCCAGTAACACAGATATGCAGCACGCAAATACAATTTTAATGGCTGCTGCCTGAAATGTTTCAGTCAGGGCCCCTGGGAAGATGGTTAAGAAAGATATTTAAGAAATATATCAGAATAAGAGAAATCTTTTAAAGACAGAAATTTTGGAATAATTTTTCAAAGTTAGTTCCTTTGTAACTTTCTTCTAGCCAATGTCTTGATTTTTCCTGAATTCTATGGAAAATTTAACTGGTTTCTTTTTAAGGACCCAGGAAGCAAAGGTAAAACAAACTGATAAATGAGAAAATCTAAGCAACTGCCACTACGGACAGTGGACATGCTTTAAAAAAAAAAAATCCAAAGTGGTAATTTCTGCATGCTGCACAAATACATTTTCTCTCTGCTTTGATTTTCTTGACTCCTGCAGAGAAAAAGCAGTGACACGAACTACTATACCAAAAAAATAATTTTGCTTTCCCAAAATATCGAAATTTAAAGACAATAGACTCTTCAAGTGACTTGGCCATTCAAGACACACTTTTTATGCAGACTCATATAACTCTTCAGGGCTGGGCAAAGGCACAGCTCCACTAAAGTCAGCGAGGACTCTGACACTGATTTCAACAAAATTGGTCAGGCTTCACTTTTCTCTGGTGCCTCGTGTCAAGACATGCCTCTGATACACTGAAGTTGAGAGTCTCTAGATGACAAAACTAACGTTCTCAGCATGAATACATCCCAAAGCGCTGAAACTATGAAATTGCATGGATATCTCTTGAGGAGAATGGGGATATACAAACATCGTGTCCCACTATTTGGCTATATGTACCTATCCCACTGACTTTTTAAGTGAAGTCACACCAGAAGAACATTATTCTATTAAATGTCCCTATCAGCAAATTTGCACTTGTGATGCATTGAGCTTGATATGCCACAGCTGCCTCCTGTTTTGTTCAGAGCTATAGTATCTACAGTCGGTGTAAGGAACTCCTACAGCAAAGCTTACTTTCTCTACAGCACACAGATACTTACACAATATGAGCCAGGTTTAGAGGTTTTTCAGGCTGGTCAGGGAACATTGGGTGCAAAGGTTCACGGCTGGAAGCACAGCTTAAAGACTTGCTAAGTGCATTAGTTAGCTTCTTAGCAGGTGATTTCTGGGAGGAACAAGGAAGGTAGAGGTAATCTGGACAAGTAAGGTGCATACTGTTTCTGCTATAGGAAGCACAAAACAACAGGAAGCTCTACAGCTTACACACCTGTCGACTGACATCCCCCTTGCCCCGCTCCCACCCCGAGAGTCTGCTAAGGCAAAGACTGCTCAGTTTGGAGGAAAGATTGCTCTTACCTTCAGGGGCCTTTAGAGTAGGCTTGGGGGGTATATCTATATGGACAATGATGCTGTTGCCATGGCTTCTGTGCAATGCTGCACTCAGGTAGTATTGAATGAAGGACAGCACAAAGTTAGTGTCGCCTGGACTGGAGCTGGCTTGTACCTCACCATCTTGGGAGTGCAAGCAGAACAGATCTCTGTATGCTTGTCCATATAGATACACTGTATGGGACACCGTTTCCTTCCTAGTTGTGGGCCAGGCACAAGGCTGCTATTTTCTTTCTCCTCGCTAGTATTTCCTTCCTCAGCTCCAGCACCCTGTACTGTTTAGCTGCTGTTATAAAGCTCCTCTTCCACCTCCTGTGGCCGCTGCAAGCCCTGCCACACTGGGGAATGGGAAATTTGAGACATGTGCATGGCAGGAATTGCCCCACCATGGCCGCAGCGTGCCAGAAGAGGCTGATGTACTGTCACCAAAAGATGGGGAGGCTCTGTGCAAGAAGCATGCTTTTCACCCTGAAATCCCATCAGCAAGTCTAAGAAAAAGATCAGCATTTTCTGCTTTCTAGTTTTGTTTGGACACTCTTTGCAGTTGAATACTTTTCTAAGGAAGGGCTTGGAGATCTAGGGTGTCTTCTAGGCTGTGTGAGAGATTCTCAGAGAATCCAGCCCACCTCTCTGTGATTCAGCTTCTCTGGCAGTAAAACAGGGGTAATGATCCTTACACTGTCTCCTCCCCCCAAAACACAGCTCTACACGCTGACATTTAAAAATCTTTTTTGAATTTCACAGGAGTGGTATTGTATTTGTGCACACACATCCTGCATCGACTTACGACTGTAATCAAAATAATAATGAAATATTTCTACTACAGAAATCCAACCAGAATATGTAAAGTTCAGGCTTTTTCTCTTTCATTATAAATGCGATTTCACTCTGAACTGAGAACAGTTGAGCTCCACTGCACCCATGAACACCTTTAATCTGCATGTGGAGCTCAATACAGATGCATTATGGAGAATGCTAACCAGGTTTGAACAAATGCTAATGAATGCTACAGAAAGGCAATTTCAAACTTGAAGCAAAACATTTGTTTCTGACAAGGAAACATTTGAAACCCCTAGGCACGTAGTCACGTTTTTGTCTTCTGCTGAGCAGGAATCTTAAGTTTTCCAATTACTTGCTACCTATAATTACAGCTCCCTAGCTACAGCAAAAAATGATTTTATAGCACAAATTGCTGTTAGGAATGGAGTCAGAGCTATGTAGCGGGCACTCTCCTATTCAGAGACTAAACTCAAGCCATTTGTGTCTATGCAACAAGCAGCAATTAGGACCCACAAAAACAATTAATAGACCCAGATCTGCTGGGATGCAGCGCAGGGCCGTGTGACTGGCATACAGAGCAAACCACGTCCAATTTAACCCTTGCCTGCTCCATCAACAGAAAAACAGACATTTTACAAGGATTAAGCTTCAGAACTTTGTTAAAAAATACACACAAAGTGCTGTACAAATGTGAGTTGTTGCTATATGCATAATTTTCTTTTTTTTAATGACAATATACTTTTGTAATATTTGAGATTAGTTAGGATTTTTCCGCTGATCTCTGGATTTGAACCCTGAAGGATTGGGATGCTCTGTGACCAAAGGGCTTCTGTTGAGGCTTTGCTCCAGTCTGTGGAGAGCTTAGCCCCCAGGTCTGATGCCTTTCAAAGAAGGTTAATGTAGCTGTTGATAATTCTCCTTCAGCTTAGAAAAAGCATTGAATATTTTTGTTTAACAACGAAAAGACAGAAGTGTGGTTTTCTCTACAGTAAACATGACTGTGGATCTAAGCCCATGACCACGCTCAAATCTACAGTGACAGGACCATCCCAAATGCTACGCATCCCCTGCAGCCACTCGACTGAAAATATTGATGAATGAGCGTTAAGTATTCGTCATTTCATTTACACACAGCCAAACAGAGCAAGCCAATGACGATTTTACCGTGAGTCCTGCGGGATGGGGAGAAGCTGCCGTGCGCCTGGCGCCCAGCTGCTGGCCCCTCCTGCGCTGCCCTCCCCGCGGCACGCACCGTCACAGGCGCCCCAGATCCTCACCCAGAAAAGACCATTCCCACCTCTGTGCTCTCCCGATGGCTCCCAAGGCAGGAGCCTCCCTGACGGGGTCACCGATCCGAACCGGCAGCCCGGCTCCCGGCCTCCCCGTGCCAGACGGCTGCCCGGAGCTGCGGCCGGGGGCTTCTCCGCCAGCTGGAGGGCAAAGCAGTCTGCAGCGAGGCGTGAGCCTTCCCTTACCCATGACGTGTACTCTTTCATTTGGTGCTGGTTGCTGTGGGAACCGCTGGCATGGCCCCTCCAGAAGCAGTCCTGACAGAGCTGGTAATTGTGACACTGCTGGCAGCGGTAGCGAAACCCCATCATGCTCTCGCTGTGGCAGTAGGAACACTCGACGGGGTGGAAGACTGCGCAGGGGAGAGAAATGCCGAGCCGTAAACCAAAGCAGAGAAACCCCCAGCAAAAGTTTACAGACAAAGCCCCGACCTGAAGGGCGAATCCCTTCTTTGTTTCCAGCGATCTGCAGCGTTGGATGCTGCTTGCAGCTCTGACCCATGAAAACTCAAGTCGCCGCCCAGCAGCCTGTGCTGAGCCACAGGCAATGCTTTCCACACTGGGCATCAAACCCTTCATCGCTTCTGAGCTGATGCCTGCACCTCCTGCTCGCAGCAACGAAAAATGTGTTCAGTGTCGAACAGAATACATGATAGAGGAAATTAATCTGTGGGAAAATCCCCTGCACCCTTCAGCTGCATTACTGGGGGAAGCGGAATGTTCTGCTGTGCTGTGAGGAGCGAAAGCAATGCACCTCAGAGGAAAAGTCAAACCCGGCTGTCTGATTACTGGAAGCACAAAAATGTACTCAGGCATGTCGTTGTCTCTTAATTACCGCTGTCACATCTGTACAACCATCCACAGAGTGAGAAAACCATCACACAAAAGTTTACTCTTGTAACTCTTTTTTGGCAGCAGCTCTTACTTACCATTTTCAACATTTGCCAGTCGATGCAGAAGTGGTAACCACACCAGACACTGTGGCGGGGGATCAGACATGAGAGTATCCAAGAAAGTGTTTAATGTGACTTTTTTCTGCTCAAACAAGCAAACAAACATGCACAAAGAATCAGTAATTAGACATGTCAAAATTATTTTATCTTGTTGTTACAGAAACACTTGGGAACTAGTTTCAGACACGGTTTGCTTGTAGCCCTGGTTTACAAAAAAGAACAAGTGATACTAGCAAAGATTTTTTCCACACCATTTTTAGTAGTTACACTGTATACTGCTGACGACTAGCGGTCCTTTTCACAAGGCTAGGTTGGAGACACCTGGCTCCCATTTACTTCAAGACTCTCTTCTGAAGTCATTGCCTGAAGATGCTTTGTGAATAAGGCTGGCATTCAGCTCTTCATGTTCTCATGTGTTTTGAGTACCCCATAACGAGTACAAGTGCATGTAGGGTACCACTACGTATCACCAATTTTCACATGAAAAGCCACTATAGAGAATGACTGATGGTACTCCAACAAAGAAAATGAAGGAAAATAATGACAAGGGAGTATAATTTCAAAACAAATATAGGGTAAGGGCAGACCATCACAGGCAATTGTGTTACTATAATTTAAGAAACTATGCTTATCTGTTGAGTGATGGCAACTAGTTATGGGTGAACTCTGATTGTGGGATGTTGTGTTTGCACACACTCAGGGACTGCAACTGTTCCTAAATTCTCCACACCTGTAAGCACTTAAAGGCCTACCCCCACTTTATCTTTCAGAGATTTAAACTCTAAAATATCCCTGTTGATTTAAAAAATGTAATCTAAGGCCTGAAGTTTCTTAGGCATCTGGAAAAAGTCAGCACAAATCTTAGTTAATTTGTTTTTTTTTCAGACCTAGAGGTGATATTTCAGCCTGAGATATCTCCACCACAAATACTTACATTTTCCTACCTAGTATACTGGCTACATAAGTGTGTACTAAAGTACACAGCTACTGGGTGGTCAAGGACAGAGAGTCCTTAAGAAAGCAGCAACTGAGCCTTCCTTTAAAATAAAATTAAGATGCAAAAATACTGAGCCCTGTTGAGAATGTGTGCAGATATAATTTATAGACATACATATTTAAGTAGCATCCCTGTATCCAAAGAGATTGCTAAATTTTCATATCTGATTGCATAAGCTACTGCTTTAACTTGCTAAAGAACTGTGGTTACCCCATGAGGAAGCAAAACAGCAGCTATGCAGTGACATGTATCATCGCCGTGTGTTGTGGAGGGCTTTTAAGAGCTGAGATTTCCAGATGGAGTCTGTGCTGCCTTTATATACAATTGCCACCAGATGTAAAGGAAATAATGATTTTTCTTATACAGTGAGTGATCAGTGGAAGACATCTCACTCTGTAACAGTCTCAGGGCTGAAATACTGAAAGATATTAGGAAATATATAAAGGTGTTTGTCCCTAAAAGAAGAGAAAATACTTGAGGCTAGTTGTGAAAATGGTCTTGATTCTTTAATGAACAGAAATAGTCAGAATATGAGCTTAAATCTCATTGAAATACTACCTTTTCCCACAATACCTGCAGTATGAAATTCCAAACAAACAGCTACCACCTGCTTGTTGTATGAATGATCTTCCCACCCATGGAGAGGGGATAACCACCCTCCAGATCGGCTTCCTACAATACAAGCATCAGCTCACAGAAAAAGATCTTTCTTTTGGAGATCCGCTGTGGATGTTTGGCATGGCTTTGCTGACCAATGCCGCCAGCAAATGTCTGTGCTGCCTGCAGCCAAACTGAGAACAGGAGGAGAAAAGGCAGAACTAAGCCTAGGAAAAGAAGGGTCCTCCAGTGCCCCATACTGCAGAGTTGAGCAGCCTTAAGTCTTCCCTCTGCTCTTGAAGGCAGATAAGTTGGCAGCAAACACACAACCGATGTAAACAAGCGAATAGATGGGGAGACAAGAACAGCTCTTCCACAATGGAATAGGCTTTTGAATGCAGCTATGATTTAAAACCTGATTTGCACCAAATAAAGCAACTTAGCTTCACTGACAGCTTTATGGCCAAACTCCTCTGGTGGTCACTGATTTTATGGATTAAAGAGAGCAGTGTCCCTTAAAAGGACACCAGCAGAGCAATTTCCATACATTTTAAAAGGCATATTTTCTCCTGCAGTCTTTTTTCAGCTGCTGGGAAGTTTGAAACTGAAAGCTGTTTTCTAAATATATGCTACATGCAGATGGAGTCTAGGTTTGTGGAATAACACTCAGCCAAGTGCTAAGAAAATGAAGTTAGAAGTGTCTATCTTTCTAGTTTGGGATAAAAAAAGAGAAATAAAAAGTGTTTTTTATAATAATAACAACACTTTTTAATACAAATACAGTATAACATCACATTAATCCTACCTAGGGGGGAAAGCGGTGATGACAAAACTCCTTGTTAATCCACAGATTTGTATTCTGAAACATTAAGTCCCTCACTCTGGCATTTCTGTTCCATAAATTTGCTGATGAGGAAACACTGTTGTTTCTATTTTGAATAGCCATTCAATCTAGCAGTGGTTTACAGATGGGGGAAAATACATGGTTTGATCAAGTAAACCAGTACAATGGGGAATAATAAAACATTTCTGCAGTAGCAAAAATCCTTTCAGATGCAAACTGAAATGGATTTGACACTGTTAGAAGATGATCATCCCCAGAATTATTTCTTTCCCTGAAACTGAGAAATCTGTGTATCAGGGGGCTGACTTCTGGTAAGCAAAAGTGATCCATACTGAGAACAACAGAGAGACTCTCAAACTTATCCCAAGGTATCAGCTTTTGATAATGCAAAGTGCAATACGAGAGAGTGAAAGAACGACTTGTGGTGTGACTAAGACTGTGAGTATCATTTATCATGGTGTCATAGGGATATGTTGTTTTGAGTGTAATTTCAAAACCCTGGTTCATCCCTAGTGAAGACGTAATGAGAATTACATAAAGTGAATTTAAGTGAAATATTAGACCAGATTTACAAGAGCACTTGGCTGCCTACAGATGCAAAACAGCAGCTTTGTAAATCTGCTGCGTACCTACATCAGTCAGAGACCTAACCCTTTTTAGCTTTAAGTGGAGATTGTGAACTAAACCATCTAATGCCTGTTTGGGGTCTTTGTTTCTTAAGGTACCTTAGTACATCTGGTCCACTCATTTGGATGCAATATCAATGAAAGTGCTATTTCTATCTGCTTAGATAGAAAATGAGGCCTGAATGACATTTTTTCCAGAAAAGAAATTGCTTTTTTCATCTTTAATAATACCATGTCCAACAGGCAAAGCTTGAATGCCCTGTTGCCATGCAGGAGCACTCCTTCAATATTTTAACACGAAACTACCAAAAGTCACTTCACTATGTAAATTCTTCAACATAAGATGAGCACTGTCTTAAGTCTCCCTCTGTGAAACAAGACTAGTTTCACATATGCAAACATTACCATTTAAAATGATTTGGGAGATGATTCAATAAATGAATTTCAATAATGCCTTTCAGTTGACTGGAGTGCCTATTGATTAGTGATGAAACTGAGGGAAAACAAAAAATGAGACTCTATTTTGCATGAAAATGACACTATTCATGCTCCATTCAACTTATTTGTTCAACAGTTTTCAGTTAGCGAATGGAAGGATAAAGAGAAGGAAAATACCACTTTATTTCTAACATTTTCTTAGTTTCAGGATCTTCCCTTACTTTATATTCATGGAATTATACAGTATGATGTATGGCAAGAGCCAGAAGAATTCTCTCTTTCTCCATTGGAGAAGTGGACAACCACCTCCCACTATGGGATCTTTTAAGTGCTAGGTACTAGCTGCAGCCAACATACTGTACTCAGTGTACCTACAAAGTCGGGTGAGTTGTGGAAAAATCTTGTATTTTCTTCAGGATAAATTAATTGTTTTCCTGACCCTACCTCATTGATGTTACCTGTAAGAGACTAGGGATTTTCTAATGCGTACTGACTCCCATTTTCAATAAAAGTTTAAGGCAATTTTCTACTCACTCATAAACTTCCCGTGTCTGTATGCCATCACTTGGAAAACATGTAGTTTGATTTTTTGGTGGGAGTTGAGCTTTGTATGGGGAACTTAAAGTCTCATATATGCTTATAGCAACAACAGCTAACTGGAGTGGAGGATTGCATGTCTTGGGGTATTTATATCACCTAAAAGTAAGTATCTAACATAGGTGCTTAAATTAGGAAGTTAGCCTCCTCAGGCTCCCTAATTCAGGAACATGTGAGTTAAGATCCTGCTCTGAATCACTTTTTGACTAAGCCTCTCTCTCCTCTGTGGTTATACGGGGAACCTATAGAGACTAGCTTCCTATTGAAGGCACCTAACCTGCATGCCAGAAATTAGCAAAGTGGACCTCCCCTCCACCCAGCCACGCGTTTCTTGTGTGAATATGCACATATGTGTAAGAAAGAAAGAAAGTCTTGGCCTGCTCAGAGCGGTGATTGAGATCCTGTGCCTAGGATGCTCACTCTTCATTTACCTGTTGCGAGAAACAGGATTTTGCTGATTGCTCAGTATAACCAAATGAAGGCCCTTCGAAAACAGCCGTGGGCAGCTTGAGAACCTCCCGCAGAAACATGTCGTATCTGCCATAAACCATCACTCCGGTGGAGTCGGAAATCATTGAGAAAATATCTGAGGGGGGAAAAGACAAGACAAGGACACAGCAACTTCAGTGTGAGCTACAGATTTGCTCCTAATTCAGTAGTATCTGACTTGAACGAAGGAGTACTAAGCAACATGTTCTGCTTATGGAAACATCCACTATTACTGCATCTTTAATTATAATCCCAATCAATAGAAAACAAAGAGAAAGATTTACATATAAAAAAGTAGCTGATTTTGACATTAAAATATTCCTGCTTCTTTTTCATTGTGTGTGGTCATTTTTTTAAGCGAAGTCTGATGCATGGCATGAGGCAGTAATTTAATCAGATAAGAGTGATCTAATTTGACAAGATACGCAACATCAGCTTTTTGCCAACTGCCAGCTTACCATATCAAATCTAAATCTTGACAATGAGTTCAGTAAGTCGGTTATTATTGTTTTCGACACACAAAGCACTGAAGGTCTTTCAAATGCATTACTTTTGACTCTTCTCCTTTTTTGCTTTTTCGTTCATGTATAAAAATATTGCAAAGTTTTATTTCTCCAGAGATGCATGTTTCTCAGCCCTTACTTTTCCCCTTGTTTAGAAGTATCCTAAGCTTAGCAGGGGATCACAGACTAAGAAACATTTATCTTTTTTCAGGCTGTCATGTCAGGTGCTTCATTTCCAGGAACCTGGATGGGATTTTCTGAGAACAGGTCCCTGGCACTGCTGATGTGAAAAATCAGCATCATACTCTAGCCTTCCACTGGATGGACCCTGCTCCTTATTCTTAAAACTGCCTAAGGAACAAACAGTGTTCAATTTATAAGTTATAATTTAAGTTCAGTCTACATTTGAGTTTCTACATGAAAATAATATATTAAAAAATGGCACCAAATCTGGAAGACTAAATTAGCACCTGGGACTTCTACTTGCCTCATCTAAACAACAACAGTTTGTAAACTCAATTTTCTTTGGCTGTGGTAGAAGGCTCAGAGGAAACTGAAGATTGACATTAATCCTTTGGTCAAAAAGTCTGGAAAATGGTGTTTTGGATCTGAGCACTAAATAGCAAATCTTTCATTGCAGCTGCAAGTAAACTATGCCTTGGCTACTGGGGAACTGGGAATAAATCCTGTGAAATGAGAATCTATTTTCCAAAATAGATGGAATTAGTATGTGCCCTATGGGAAGAAATACAAATAGTGCATAAATATATTGTACTTCTAAGTGTGAAATGAGAGAGATGTTATTAAAAAAAAGTTTGAAGAAATTGTTAAAGGATGCTTCATGACGTTGAAGATTTGAGGCACCTACCTCTGAATTCAATCATCCCAAAGGGAAAAAAAAAGCCACCAATGAGAATGTCAATATATGCAATTTGGCTTCAAAAATACGAAGTCTGGTGTGAAGTTCAGTCAAACATTTAGTGGGAATTACTTGGAGGTGTATACAGTGCAAATCCCAAACCCAGCCATGAAACTATAACTTGTCCTAATTCCCTCTTTTCCTACCTGTACTGTTATCTCAAGTACAACAAGTACAACAAGTACAACAATGATTAACAGGTTAAAAATGTCACCCAAAAGACTTACATCTTAATTTGTCCATGATCTTTCCTCCACAAAGAGTTGCCAAGGCCATTTTGACAGCAAAAACGGAAATTTTACCATGCCCTTCCCTGTTCAAAAGTAGAAAGTAGACATATTTTATAATATGGACTTCCTTCCATTTAAAATGTATATCACTGACAAGACATACGGTAATGCATACTATATGTGGATTCACATATGAAGAAATAATTGAATTTTAAAATCAAAGTTTGCTTTGTGGGAACACACATCAGTACATCGTTCTGTAAAGATCTCAGAACAGATTTATTAAGTATGTAAATCTCAGTATTAAACTGTTTATCTCATTATACATTAAGATGATGATTATTACTGCTATTTGTGCTACAGTAGCACTGCAGGACACCTATCACACTCATGGCCTCCCTATCCTAAGTGCATGGTGTATCTTCTGTCCCTAGAAGATTGCAAATAAGTGCAAAAATCAACAGTGGGAACAAAAGTGAAAAAGCAGAAAAGGACCGCACGATTGCACAAGCTGCATTTTGCACCTGTTAGTAAGTCCTGACAATTGCCTTTTAAATGATACACCTGACTCCCAGGAACCTTTAAGAAGGACTTTACTGAAAAATGGGGAACAAACCTGCACCCAGAATGAGCAAAGGACATTTGTTGTCATATGCAGAACAGTCTCGTCCCTGGTTTGTTCAAGTTGAGGCTATGTCTCGCTCCCTCTTTTCAACTTAAAATGAGTAACGCTATTAAATCTCAAATGCACAAAGGTGTATGCCATAGGGGCAAAAAGAGATTTTTTTGTTCTGTAAATCCAGTCACTTTCAGGTAAAAATAAAAGACTTCTTTTTTTATCCCTGGAAGGATCAGACCATATACTGCACTCTCAGGATGCTGTGTTCACCTATAGAACATTGCCAACTCTTCCTTCAACTGCCTTGAAGCATGCAATGGCTTAATTTTATTGCTCCTCTTGCTATCCTCATTCTTCCTCCAGTCATGATGGTCCCCAATGATTACTTGCCATTACAGAAACCTTGGTTTTTTGGAGCTGCATGAGTAATACATGACTTCACCCACTGCAAGGCACTCTTAACTCCTAAAAGACCTATCCCCCCAGTTTAGGCAAAACTACGTTGAGAGTGTTAATGGGAATGGCAGAACAAAGATGCTGTAATGTTCAGTCCCTTTCCAAAGATAAGAATGAACACAACCTCTTAAGTTCATCTCCTTTTTAATGTTCACTTTTGAGGCATCCAAATATTGAAATGTGTGTTTTTTCTTGAAATTCTCTGAGTCTTACTATAAGGCAGTCAGAGTCCACAGCTGCACTGGACCAACTTTTATCTGTCATCCAAAGTCCTTAGCATTACTATATATCTTTCCATATATCTGTTTAATGACATTAGTGAGAACACATTGTCCACATGCTTCAGAAAAGAGACAGTCAGCCAATATTTGTGAGCTTAGCAAAATGGCACCCATGTCTCTTTCTAAATTCTACTGATAGGGCTAATGATGGGACCAGATAATAAAGTTTTCTGTCATTTTTTGGGAATAGAGATTCTGTGACCTTCAGTCTTTACTCTGTCAGGGAACATTATGCTTATAAGGGACTTCCTGTTAAAATATATAGAATTATCTCTCACATAAGATAGTCTAACAGCACTGGCAATAGCAATATAAAGACATTGAGCTCTCCATCAGTATTTACAAAATTACTCTGCTGACTGTCACTCAATTTTAATGAAGAAAATTGTGTCTGATCAGAACTAAAAGATAAACTGATTCTGGAGAGACACAGAGCCTGTGACTGTGTCGCGCTCTCTGCTCACCCCAAGCCAGACTTATACAGTAACATATACATATATAATAGACATGAATGGCATACTCATATCAGTACATTAAAGCATGCTACATGCTTCACTGCTGTGTTCATTATTAAGCTACTCAGACTTTACAAAATGAGCCAATTCCCTAAGCTTGGCTAGCTAATAACTTATACAGTTCGGTGAATTGGATTTAGTTCTAGCCCAATGTAACCCATGATTCTAAATATTAATTCTAAATATTCTTTACATGCATTTAAAATTCTGCTTTTTGTCAGAAAATCAACAAGAGCTGTAGACAAAAAAAATCACTACTTCAGTATTTAAGAAATAAATCTTTACTATGTTCTTTAATGCTGGCTTTTATGCACATTTTCTTTTTCATGGCATTGCATTCTCATTGAATAGCTTCATAAGATTAAAATCACAGTATAGGAATTTCCAGTCTTCTGTATTTCCATCCTTTGTTGGCTGGATTCTAATTTGTGTAAACCAGGACCTAGCATTGCTGGAGCTATGGCTGAGAATTTGTCCATTTTATATTCTTTTTGTGCATGTTACCCTTTAGACCTTTGGGAATTTTTTTTCTGCACTGTTTCATCACGAGGTTTTCATCTGCCTTTAAAAGAGTTGTTATACTTAAGAAAAATAAATGCTAAGTGGAAGCAACAGCATTATTACAAAGCAATGGAAGAATTAGAGGAAAAAATAAAGCCCATGTGGAAGTGCTTCAGATTTAGATTATTTTTCCCAGTAGGTTTAGCTACATTTACTAACAGGATTATACTCTTGAACAGCAGACACATATCAACTTGCCTTCAGCTTTCTACCCCAGAGCCATCGGCTTTTCCCATACTCAAACGGTTATGGAACAGAGAAACAAGAGAAAGAAAAGATTTCATTTATCTCTTCAATCTCTCAGTTTGAGTTGATTAGTTTTGACACTGTATTTTGTATCAGTCATTTGTATTCATAAAAGCATCACTAGAGCCAGTATAAATTCAATTTGCCCTCCAAATATATATGTGTGTGCGCGCATACATATACACACATGCTTATGTAAATGTATATGACTGATGAACGGACAGGATAATGGGGTCTAAGACTTGCCAATATCATTGGGATCCAGAAGTGCCCTAAGCTATGTCTAAGTACTACAGATGCCCTTGACTGGCAGCACTGGGGCCTCGCAGTGTTTGCTGCGTAGAAGCAAATGCTGAAGCAGTGGTTCACAGCCGCATGAAGATCTCTATTGAAGTCGGTGCACCCTGAAAGAAGCTTTAGGCTGGTTAATGCAAAGCGATATAAACTTTACTAGTGGAAATAGGAGAGGACAGAAAATATTTTCATTTTATATAGCACCTCCTTACTAAGGTTACTTTTCAGATCCCTACAGAAAAGCACCATAAATGATGGCAAAGGCAAACCTTCAAGCTGATATGCACTTAGCAACAACACAGGATGGAGTGCTTAGGAAAGGGGATGATGGCCAGGGCTTAAGGTTATCTCCTGCCGCCTGAGAAAAAAAGGGCAAAAAATAACACATGCTTTTAGACACCAGAGCATAGCAGAAGGTTTCCTCTTCAAATGCATGGCTGCAGAGAGAGACAGCCTATCCCCAGAGCAAGGAAGCCCCACAGGCCGCCTGGTAAAATCTGCACACTATAAAAGGCTAAGTCTAGTTCCAGGGCCTGAATTTGCCTTTTGGGTCAGCAAGGGGAGAGGTACCAAATGGATAACACTGACATTTGTCAGGATCTCTGGCAATACTCATCCTGAGACAGCTATATGGTGGGGAGAGCTATAAAGAAATGACATCACATCTTTAGAAATAGCAAATATGTCCTGTGAAATGGACATTGAGAAAATACAATTTTTCTCATTAACTAGGCATGAAGTGGTGCTCCCCCAATGCTTTAAGTTATCTTTTCCAAAAGTAATGAAATTTCTTTGGTTACCTGTGGGCCTCCTGCCCACCTTAATCAGGGCGGCCAATTCTGAAATGTCAGGGGCTGTAATTACACATTCCTATGTTCACAAACAGGTCTCAGAGAGGAAATGTTGTTGGAATCAAGCAAAATTCTTTCATTTAGGAGAGCAAAATGCATAATGACCAAATCTCTGAAATGCATTTTTTTACTGGACTTCCTAAAAGCTAGCTGGCCTGTACAGCTTTCAATGATTAGCAAGGGTGGAGAAGAGAGGGAATGAAACACTTTACAGCTCTGAATAGATGGATGAGCAAGAAGTTATACTTCCAAAACAAATACTGAACATCTTGATTTATTGAACTCAATATGATTCAAATGTGCATTTGATTACACAAGGGCACGAATATTTCCTCTTTTCTTTGTAGAAGCCAAGCCCCTCCAGCCAGACTGGGTTTGTTTCATAGCCCAGAGCTCACAGCTCCATTCGTAGGACAGGTATGTCAAGGCACAGAGAAAAATCAGCTCTTTTCTTGTCAGTTAAACTTCGCAGCAGGAATAGCTGTATTGTAATACTAAGTCAGTGCTGAAGATGATCTAGCACAGGATATTTTACACTCTGTTTAAAAAGAGTCTTTTTGGGAATGGCTCGACTGAATGAGGCTGACATTCCACCTAGCCGCCTAGGCTTTGACACCGTCCTGGGATGAATTTTTCAGAGAAGTTTGAACTTGTCATCTTTTTATATAGTACTTGTGTGCCAGTGAAGGAAGCATGCTATTATTTTATAAAGCCAGTTAATCACCTTAGATGTTGAAGCAAAAGCTATTGGCCAATTTTAATGTGCAGTTAAAAACGCAAATCAGGCATATTTTTGTCCAGATTTTTTAAAGTCTGACCGCTTCATTATGCTCACTGGTTTTGGTCTGTTGGGATCCTCTACCACATGATGCTGACTTTCACACAATAACGGCAAATTAATTGGAGCAGCATTTTTATTTGTGAATTTTGATTTTGTTGACTTGCACTTTTATGAGGTTGCACTTTAGTTTTGGCTTAGCATGAAGGAGCACCACACTCAGCGTCACATGAAATCTTATACACTATATTTTTTCCTCACTTTTTCCTCCCTTCAGGGTTGAGCGGCAGGGAAATATAATTACCTGTAGGCCTAATGAGTCCCCAAGGCTGTGAAAAAATCATAAAAAAACTGGGATGAAAGTTCAGCACAGGCAGTGGGCAAGCTGGTCCACATGCCACGGCATTGCACCATGGCTCCCCTTAAGTTTTGCTAGCCAGGTTCTAGCTTCTGAGAAGACATCTGTACTGCAGGCCTAGGGAAATATTCCCTGCCAGAGGGCAGAGAAACCTGCCAGGTTTTCAGCAGGGTATAAATGAAGGAAGAAGCTTTGTTTAAAGCTTGGAGGATCTTCAGACAGCACAGTACCTGTGGGGCAGTATATATTAACTAGAACTAAATAAATGAGACAGTGGTAGGCTTATTAGATTTTAAATCACACATTAACTTGTCCCTTGTGGTCCTTTCATATATGTTAAGTCACAGACTCCATTTCTCCACTCTCTTTCCTTGCGTTTCAAATGGGACATGAGAAACCACACAACCTTTTCTGGACCTGCCGACAGTACAGCAGGAGCAGCCATCGCTCTGTGTAGCCACAAACACCAAAAACATCCATTATCACTTAAAACAGCCTTCTCATTTATACTGAAGACCTATTTGGTCTTGGTCTACTGCTTTGGTTTCAGAAAGCTGTTCTGGGTTTTTTAGGGTTTGGGGTTTTTTTTTTGTTGTTGTCTGCATTCATAGAATCAAATGTGATCATATTAACATTCATTAATAAACATGAATAATAATTCCTCAGTAGCCACCTAGAAATTTGGATAGCATTTCTGCATGCCAACTGTGTCCTTAAAACACAAGGCTAAGAAATAGAGGAGGGAACCCAGATCAAAGATAACAGGATTATTTTAGGGGTGACACTCGTGATTTCACTATGATTCATGCACCTAGTAAAACCCCTTTTTTCATCAGAGAAGACTACAGGCAATTTAGTTTAACTGTCCAGTTTCTATAAATGGGAGGAGAATGAGAAAAAGACTTCATCCCACCTCACAGTTCCACCCCTGTTCCCCCTATACGCAATGCATTGCTTCCCTCAGCATGGACCACAAGAAAAGACCTTGCTCCTCCCTCTACCAGCTTGTAGCCTTTAGCAGAGAAGGACTTTTCTGCTGCACTGCAGGGGAGGGGAGGGAAGGGAGCAACATGGGAAGCAGAGACATCAGCTCTGGTTAGATCCCAGCAGCTCTCACATCGTCCCTGTAGCATGTAGAGCCACCGCCCACCCTCTGTTTCCCAGAAACAGGGAAATCTGGACCACCAGTGGTTGCTAAACCAACACCCAACCCAAAACTTCAGTACCCTGAACCATAATAAAGGGTAGGGCACATTTTGAGAATCAGATGCTTAACTTGTATGTCTACATCTGCGATAGGTGTCCAAACTCCCATTACAGTAGACACTCATCTCCGTGAAGCCTGAACTTGGGTATCTCAGATTGCACCTGAACCTCATCCCAGATGTTTGGTGCATTTAAAATGGGGTGATAGGCAGCCAGTCCCTATCTCAGACTCCATTGCTGGAAGCCTCTTCCTGGGGGTCCTTTGGGTGTCTCTGCCCTTCTGGGAAGTGCATCCTATGCACCCTGCTCGGGGGCAGCACGACAGACTGAGTTGCTGCTTGGCGAACGGAGTGAGGGTCACAGCCTCCTCACCCCTGGGAGGGCCTGATGGGAGCCCAGAAAAAAGGTCACAACCCACAGCACATGGGATGTTTTCAGGGAAAGCAAACCCTCACCCCTTTAAGCACATTCTCTGTTTCACCTCTCCTCCATTTTCCAGCAAGTAGCCTTGATGTCTAGCTGAGATCTTCGCCCCTTTACAGTGAGCTACAAAACAAGCACGTTATCGCAGGTCTTGCTTCCACAGTCCTGGGTCTTTCCATGTGTTTACCAGCTGGGAAGCAGTTTGCTTGCAGCATGCAGCAATGCATGCATCTGGCCATTTTCATTGTCCTTTAGTGTTCTTGTCACAGCCACAATGGTAGAAATTAAAATGCCTGTTCCTTCTTTTATTGCCCTTGAGGGGAGAAAAATATTCCTGAAGGCTATGGTTTCACAACGGATTGGCTTATTTTTCTTCCCCTTGGAGCGGCTGGAGGGGAGGTTGGGTGCATCCTTTTCATGTGGAACATCTACTTTTTCTCCCCGTCGCCATGGTGACTGAGCCGCTGGCTGGTCTGACTCCAAAAGGTGCTCGATGACACCCAGCACTGGGGCCCTCAAGCGAGAGGATGGGAAAGAGGGAGGGGTAGAGGGGCAGCATCCTTATTTTAATGTGTCATGGACAGTGTTTTCAGCTGGTGAATTTTCAAAATATAAGCCATAAAGAGGCAATAGGTCATCTGCATCTGTCAGACTTGACTACTGTTCTCCAAAAATTTATTTTTGAGGATTGCAAATGTTGCAGTACAGGTTGATGACTACGTATTCAGAAACTGTAATATGTATACACAGTATACTCGCTAAGGTAAGTGGCTCACTCTATCTCAAACATGTCCTTTTTGTCATACGGGTCCCATGCAGTAATAAACAACATGAATTTCATCACCTCCAGGTCTTTATCCTATTTCTGTCATGGTCTCAAAATCATGCTGCACTGTCATGAGCCAGAAAAAAAAAATTGCTTACAGCTGCAAGAACTTGCAGGAAAATGAGCTCTTTCAAAATAATGAGCTATTAACCCATGGCACTGCTGCAGAGGCATTGCAGTGGTGTCAGCCACTGGTGTGTCAATAAATAACAAGGCAAATTAGAAGTGGATGTAAATTTGTTTCTGTAGATAATTCTTCTTTGATATAAACTGGAACAAGTCTGAGTAACTGGATGAAAACACAGTTGTGCTGAATTTGGCTCGACAGAAAGGAAAGCAGAGGTCCTTAATTTAGTTTCTCTCCCTAGTTAGCACTATTCATATGCTCATGATTTGGGCCACAACTTAGCTTGTTCAATTGTTTTCCAAAGATATTTCCGGAGCAAGCAAAATCCTTTCACCAGTCTGGAGAGGAGGGAAGCACACGCGGCTAAGAAAGGCAGACTTACGGATCAAAGGCTGCTAGCAAGAAGTTGAGCAGTAAGCTGATGGATTGCTCCACGTTGATCTGGTGTGTCGTCGGCATCCGTTTGTTGAGCTGGTAGAAGATAGTTGAAATCACAGCTTCCAGGCGAGCCACGTTCAGTTCGATGTTGGGATCCAGGTTGTTCAGCGCGTTTTCCCGCAAGGCTTCTATCACGTTCCAGATGTCCACCAGGTGCACTAGGGGACAGGACAGAAAGAGTCAGCGGGGACACGCGTTCCTGAAAGCAACTGAGAAAAAACGTCACCTGAACCCCCAGGGTGGGGAATAACACAATCACGCAGGACACGCTTCATGAATAATAAAATGAATGAATGTATTTTCCATCAGCAAGAAGTGAACTTGGTGGAGGAACGAGCAAATAAAATTCAAATCCATTAATAAGCAAACAATATATCGATATTATTAGTTGTAATGCGTACAACTTCAGCTCAGGAAATAAATACTCATTGTATAAAATATTCAAGCAAAAATCTATATTTTACGGAAACCACTGGAAGGTAAACATACGCTAATTGTTTTTCTGAACCATGCCTCTATGAATACCCATTCAGAAATTACTCTTAGATATTAATTTGCATAGCAGATGGGCTTTTCAGAAGATTCTACGAATACTAAGTGCTTAACACGTACTGACATTTTGAAAATTCTTTTCAGCAATTTGTATGGAAAGCAAAATATTTTTCAGAAACTGAATTGCAGTTGAGTCAGGGTAGACAAGCTACATTTAAACAAAGAACACGTAATGAAGTGATCCCAAAGTCATATATCGTATCTTCTAAATATATTTGCCAAACGATTTGTTAAATCTCTCTCTTTGATCAAGTCCTGGTCTAAGCTGAATTTCACGGGGACTGTTTTTACCTACAAGGACAGCTTAAAGGACAATCTCTGCTCACCCTTCATATTGTACCCAAACAGAAATCTTGTTTGCGTAGCACTGTTATTGTGGCAGTATGATCGGCTTGCCGCAGATTGGCACTTCCAGAAGCAGTGGACCATGCCAAAAATAAAAAAAACCCCTACACTCATTCAAAATTTGGATTTAGTTCAAACCCGAACTCAAAGAATCATCCCTTTTTTATCTTACGTATCACCTGCTGTCCTACTAAACTGTCAATAAGAAACAAATCATGAGGTTCAGGGTGCAAATTCTCTTTTTTTTACCAGAGAAACTACTGTATAGTTCTTATTACTTAGCATGGTGATATGTCTTATGATGTGGAAAGAGATGCTTTTTTTTTTGTGGATAGAGAAATTTAATTCTAGCCCTCACCATTATATTTTTACTTGCTTGGTTTGCCGGTGCTGTCTCAGACTGCAATGTGACATGGTCGTCTGATGGCAGGGAGATGTAAGCTGATAACAGATAGATAAATGAAACCAGATATACTGTCATTTTACCTAGTCTAGAATTTTTCCCTATGATTGGGTTTCTCTTCTTCTACCTCAGGGAAAAAATAATCTCTTATGCCCTGCTACTGCATGTGTAAGCCCAAGGAGGAAGATACACCATACAGGTGACCGGCCACAGCAGCAGCAACTACTTCAGGCACTAGATGAGGCACTTTTCCACTTCTGCTTGCTGTTCCCTAGCAAATAACTGGGATAAAACCAACAATGCAGTTCCACCATGACACCTAAATATTTATTTGGCCTTTGTATTAAAAGGTAACTTCTATAAGTGACCTTGTAAGCTGGCAGGTTGTCTTCAGAGTGTCGTTCTGAATTAAGCCAAGTGGGTGGAGCATACAAGCTCCCTGAACTCTTCCTTTTTGTCTTCTAGCTGGGAAAAGAGCACCTTCCTTGTAAAAAATGTGGCATAGGTCTCAGATCCTTTTAATGCAGCCATTGCTATTCCCATTCAACCAGCTTGAACTCTTCCTTTTTGTCTTCTAGCTGGGAAAAGAGCACCTTCCTTGTAAAAAATGTGGCATAGGTCTCAGATCCTTTTAATGCAGCCATTGCTATTCCCATTCAACCAGCTTTCACTGTCAAGTTGCTACAGATGTAATCTGGGTAAATGGGAGATGAACGATCTCCAGGAAGATGGCCTGCCCATAATAACCGACCCTTCCTGGGCAGCTTCTCCACATGGCTCAAAGGCCAGACTAGGCAGAGAACAGAAGTCACCAGAAAGCAGGCCATCATCTGATCCAGGACAGAAGGGTTAATGAGCATTTCCCACTCTGGGTCACCACCGTAAGGCAGCCAAGGAAGAAACACAGAGCAATATGCCAGAAGATGCCACAACAGGCTGGACCACGTGCACGCATTTTATGACCTTATCAAGGGGGAGGGCAGGCAGGACGCAGAAGGTTAAGCGTGGCGTTTCCCTCAAGGTCTAGCCGTTGCCGGCCATGAGGGCTGTCTCTGGTAATTCAGACCAAGTAGGTGAAGGAGAAGGTGCTTGCAACAGCAGATTCACCAGGCTGGCTTCTGGCTGCGAGGCTACGTGTGCAAACTGTTGAATCTGAGCTGTAGCTACACTAACAAGGTAACAACGCGAGAAGTTACCAGGCATAACAAAGAGCAAAGAGGGAGTAACGCATATGCAGATAGCTAACCTTGACTTGAGGCTACACGAACAAGATAGCAACCCTAGGCACAGCACAAACAGGGGTACTAGCTTAACAGCACTGCTGACCAAGGCAGAAACTACTAGGGCAACAATATGATAAATACTAAATAAGGATGTAAAATTAGCAGCATTGAAGCTAGTGGGAGAAGAATAAACAGGGACAGGCTGTTTATTTGGGAGTGCACAAGCTTGGTAGAGGAAAAAGCATGGGGGTGGAAAAGGGGAATATAAAGGGTAACAATTCATGTCATCAGAGCTGCTTGTGGGTACCTCTTAAGCAGCCCTGCACCTGATCAGTGCAGAGGAACGAACACAGCAATAAGACTGTTGTTTTGACCATACATGTATCTAGTTTACTTCTTCAGTTGCGGGGAACTGCGATGGTTTCCCTAGCACTGATAAAAGGACATCCAGGGAGGATGAACCAGACATCCAGACTCCCTAACAGTGAGAATTTCACACAGCAATTTAACTTTCATTTCTACAGCCTAGTAGTGGAAAACTCTTGAATAAGAGAGCATGGAGGAAAACAGCTGGCACAAGGAATGAGGCTGAAATGGGGATTGGTGTCTTTATTCTTCACATGATCCAGTACTCATACTATGTGGCTGTCAGATTTTCATGTTTGCTTTTTTTTTCTTTTCCCACTGAGATTATATTTTTCATAACATAGTCATATCCAGAGTTAGTTTTGATGATGGTCCTGGGAAGGGAAATATCCAGAGGCTAGCAGATGTGGGACTAATAATATCAGTACACTAACACATCAGAGAGAAGAATATTGGTTTTAGTGTTAACTCTAACCTGAAAGCCTCATAAGCTATCCTGATATTCATTGGTATGCCAGAAAGGTAGGGCACAAGACTAAGAAAATGACTTACTGGAAATTACACAGCAGTTACAGTTCCCCACCCACCATAAAATATTAGTCTCAAGGAACTGCTGTGCATCTGTACTATAAATAATTTTACTTGGGCTTTTTTTTTTTCCCCCAGAAACACTTTGGTTCCACTTGAAGCTAAATAAGCAACAATCCTACTGCACCATTTTATTTTGCATTTTATTCACGGATTTCAAATCTCTCTACAGAGGCTGGAAAGTAATACTTCCTGGAGGAGGAAATGAAAGATGGTCAAGAGCCAGACTTGTTAACAAGATCTGCTAATTTTGAAAATGTCTGTTGAAATATCTGCCTCAAAATCACAAGGAGAGTTTGTTAGACTGTTGTACAGAGGACTGAAGTCTCTGGCCTTTACTCAAGTCAGTTGTTATGGACAAGAATTCACCCATCTAAATTTAAATGTCAAAAATCAGGTGCCCACTGTCAGCTGGTGATCAAGGCTCCCTCTAACGCCAGTGGAAGAAAAAGGCACCTTAAAGCAGCTGTCCGGAGACAGGTATGATGAACAGTGCTTTGAAGGTGCCCACATTTCTTCACTGACTACAGGCAAAGCCTAAAGCGACAAGTTTACATGCGACATGTAACCTCAGAGCTGGTGAAGTTAACTGAGATGAATCCCACACCTAGCTCTTGAAACATTAAGAAAAGGTATCTTTTCTGTTCTGACTACTACATGGCCTAGAATAATTCGCTTTATATAAAATATAAATAATAAATACTTTAATCTGTATCAACAGCTGCCAGATGCTGTCATAGTCACAGCCTCTTACACTGCATCGCTTAACCTGGCGCAGATTACAACTGGGTGTAGTGCCCTACTGATTGCTTCGAATCCTATTTTTTTTAAGTTTACTCACATAGCAAGCACACTCTTACATATTCTATCATGCTGCCAAGTCAACCTATCAACACTGGGAAAAGGCAGAGAAAAACACAGGCCTCTGCAAGCTCCACTCTTCATTTGTACTATTAGAAATTTCTACCAACAACTAATACAGTATCTGTAGTCTTTTCAATGCAATAACAGAACGTCAACCTTGCAAACTTTGCATAAGCTTACATTCCTCTCATTTTAATTTTCATCCTCTCTGCTACCCATTTTCTGTCATACCTGCTATGCCCATTTATTTATTTATCCATCCTTGAGATTGTTATAATCTCACCAAAGAAGGCATGCCTCTTTACTTTCTTTGCACAACACCTAGCACAATAAAACCCAAATCTGATTTCTACTTACTACTATGATGCTAACAAGAAGAGTTTGCAGTGTAACTAACAGCTTACAGATACAGGAGAGCTTTCTCTCTCCTAAAATCTGCCTTAAAATCCCTCAACAAAGTCAAACTCTACAAGTTCATTTTTAACTTCTCATTGCTGTTGCTGCTTTTGTTGGCTTACAAAGCAGCTTCTACTCCTAATGCCTAGTGATCGTCTGCTGACACTGAAGAAACAACTGGCAGATTTCTATAGCTTTAAAGATCCATTTCAGAAAGGGCATCTTTCTCATGTTGAAGTATAATTCCCTTTTCAGAGGGAAATGTGGGTAAGGCTGCTTGTATCTAGCACCTATGTGGTATAAGGCAATCCAAAATCATGCAGCCCAGCCAATCTTCACAGACGCCTCAAAGGCCTCGCACTGTGTAAACAGCACAGCTATCCAGGTGTAGATCTCCCTCACTTGCCTGATGTCT